TATAAAATATATAATATATAATATATAATATATAATATATAATATATAATATATAGTATATAATATATAATATATAATATATAATATATAATATATAATATATAATATATAATATATAATTATTGTCTGTATCTCTATAATATATGTCATATATCATATATCATATATTATATCATATTATTTCATTTTTCTCTGTTTCTCCAAGGTGGCATTCTGGATATATAGGGTGTGTCTCTGTTTTGTATTTGGGATGGAGTCTTTTTATGTTATCTGCCACCTCTCAACATTTTAAGCTAAAAATGAGAGTTCTTTGCTGGGTGGTTGATCTCTGAGCTTTGACATTTTATTTTTACCCTTAGCCTGACTCATATCTGAGCTGAAGAAGAGATGAGAATCCTTCTTTGTTTGGAAGAGATGAACAAAAGTTCCTCCTGTCTTCATCTCAGGATGGAATGGCACATCTGAAGAAATAAGTAAGGAACAAACTGCTGAGTAATGAACACAAAAATACCATCTATCATCACAGCTGAATAAACAGGAGTATTGGCATCATCTGTGTCCTTTGTTCCATATGAGGATCAGGAGAGTTCTCAGCTGGAAGATCATGTCCAGTTCCTGGTGCTTTTATTAAGGGAGGATGTTGAACAGCTGGAGAGTCACAGGACAAAATTTGGGATGACCAGAAGTCTAGAAAACATGGCTCATGATGAAAAGACAAAGGAATTTGCAAAACTTGATTTAGAAAAGAGACAATAGAGGATGGCCCGTCAATGAACTTTAAATATTTTAAAAATAGACATGAAGAGAAAGGGAGTGAATCTCTTTTGTGCACATTATGGGTGGAAAATAACTGAAATTACAGGAAGGGAGATACAGACAAAACACGTGTAAATTTTGCTTGTATAGTCAATCAATGAAATTGGCTTTCTTTGGAAGAAGTGGAATTTCCATGAGGGGAGATGGGCACAGTGTAGCTAATTCTGAATTCAGGAACATGAGTGAACCAGGCTGGTTCTCCTCTCCACCCTAATTTTCTGTTCTTCTGTAATTGTTATTCAGTACCCAGATGGTGTCAGCAGCACCAGAAGCTACCAGGACTTTTCCCTGGTAAAATGGAARTGGGACATCAAGTGCAGAGTGTTCCTTGACTCAGATGGGTGCAGGTTCCCAGAATCTCTTGATTCTTTGTGGATTTGAGTGAGCTGTTTCTGTCCCTGCCAACACTGTGGTATTTTAGAAACATGRCAAAGAAGGAAGGATGCCCAGCTGCACCAGCCCAGCTCAAGGTAAAGCTGGGGACTAAATAATCCATAGCTAAATCTGCATAAGAGTATATCATGATTAATGATGTCACATCCAATTGCCTCTGACTCCTGGCCTTAAAAGGGACCACGGAAATCAAAGGGAAAGCTCCAAGCTGAATCATGTCTGAGCTGCTCTCTGCTCCACCCTGGGTGAGCTCAATGGCTTTGGAGGTGGTTTTGGCAGCAGCTGGTGAGAACCAAAGGATGTTYTGGGAATCAGCTTCTGCAGACCTTCCTCTCCAACTCTCTTCTTTCTCACCTCACACTTTACCCCTATTTTTCATAGGAGTACTTATTTGCCTTGCAGTAGTCTTAGATATCTACCTGAGCTGAGTGCTGCTGTATATTTTCATCCTGAGAATATACAATCATTGTCCTCCCTCCTTCAGCATTTCCCAACTCTTCTTCTGCTCTCTGAAATCCATTTTTTACTATTTTGTTATGGCCTGCTCAGCCTGTGACCCCACTTGTACACTCCGTCCCTGTAGATCATCACTCCTCATATGACCCCAAACTGGGTCTCCTACATCAAACACTGATGRGATCTTTCCTCCCAGCCTGTTGGATCAATTCCAAGATTGTTGGTGCCAGAGTTTACAGCTCCAGGTTTTTTATGAAGAGGGGTGATTCAGGGAAAAGGCTGCATTGACTTTTTTCAGTGCCACAAAGCTCTCCAGATCTTCCTCATCTGGGATACAACGGAAGGATTTAGGACACAGAAGCATGCTCCTGAATTCCTCTGGGTTTTTTTCGGGGAGGAAGGAATGAAAAAAAAATTGTAAGGATGAGATGAAAGAAAGGTTATCACAAAAAAATCAGGTGAGTATTTGAGCATAAATCAAGTTTTCTTCTGGGTTTTAGAGGCAGAGGTGGCTGCAGAAAGAACAGGCAAACRCTTGGTAATCTCCTAGAACATCAGARAAGTGTGTCACAGYYTGTCYCCTTTTCYCTTTTCCCTCTTCCCCAAATTTACCCTCTTTTCCTGATCTTCCTGAAACTCTGCCATCCCAGGATATTCCTGCCCTTTTAGCTTCCACCTGCTCTGTCTCTGTCCTTGTTGTCCCTGCCCATCCCACCCTGCCTGTCCCTAGTGCTGTCCTGCAGCTCCTCTTTTGGGCAATTATTTTTCTCCTCCTCTTCAGTGCTGTTTAAGGCTGGATCCATCACAGGGTGTGTGATAGTGGGGCACAGCCATCTCTCTGCCCTCTGCTCTTTTTTGGGGCTGAGTTCCTGTGACAGAAGGRACTCTGCTCTGCTCTAGGCAATTCTTCAGCAAAGATGACATCTGGATTTCAGACCAGCTCTGCTGACCACGTGCAAGTGGGAAGCAGTGATTTACAGATCTGACAGGATTTTCATATGGCCACCAAGCACAGGCTGATGCCTCCAGGGATCAGCCCCAGCTCATTTCAAGCTCCTGCACGAAGCACTGAACTGCAGTGAAACCACTGTGAGACATTTTCAGCATGGGCCAAGAATATTTTTCACTAACCTCAGTTTTGGATGTTGCTAACCAACTTTCAGTGAAATATTCCCAAAATAAAATTCAGCCCAACACAGAGATCAAGGGTGGAAAATTTCAGCCTAGAATGACTAAAATATCAAAAAAATAGAAAGCAACTGAAAAGCAGATCTTATAATCAAGCTGCCAAGCAACATTAAATACAAGATTCATTGCCATCTGCACCTATAACAGAGGRATGGCTATTTAAGTATTCAATATGGGGAAAAAACTTTCTTTCATGACTGACATGCAAGGAGAAAGCATTTTCTTTCCAAACATGAGGCATCTTGCTCAAGGAAGGCATCTGATGAGGACAAACAGTGGTGACTGAATCAAACTGTTATGTGATCTGAATTATTTACATTGCTTGGAGTCCACCAGATTCTTCACCCAAGGGTTTTAAAGGCCCAGGATGAACTGGAGGCATCAGTGAGAGAGATGTCAGCTTGACCCACGGTGATTTGCCATCTGTGAAAAGCAAAACAAACACAACCCACTGGAGGAATTGTGACTCTAATAGGAACTGGAACACAGATTTACAGAGGATCTTTGTGTTTGGACTCACCAGCCTTTGACTATGGCAGGATTGAAAATTCAGCAGCTGTAAAAGCCCAGCTCCACAGATCTGTGCAAAAATGAGCTTTTGGCTGTTGACTGCTTGGCACTCTACCTGCAGGGCTGGACCAGATGTGGAATTATTTCCTAWGTTGTTTCCTTCAGTTTTCAGAAGAAGACAACAAGATTTCCAGCAAAGTTTTTAGAGAGTCTTTTTAAGTCTTTTATTATACTCCAGAATTTTAAAACTTATGACTTTTTTTTCAGGTTATAATAAGAAATACTCTGTCTGCGGAAAATTTTTATTTCCTCAGATTACAGCCTCGCAGCTAAATCAGAAGTATTGCTGGTATCAGAGAAAATACTACATTTGGGACAAAAAGTCACCACTACTTTGAACTGAGTCCATTGCTGAAAGAAGAAAATATATCTAGATGCAAAGTACAGCCTCTTAAAAGCATAAAGACAGAGATTTTCCCCCTCTCCTGATCCAAAATACAACAGTCACCGACTATTTTTAATTCATGCAAAATTATGATGATAATGAAAATTATGATAATAATGAAAATTATGATAATGATGAAAGCATAAACTTTATGGTTTGATGATTTGGCTGCCATGTGCATCCCTAAAGTAGGGACTACAGCGATCAGCATAAAATAAATATGACAGAGGAGCCTTCAGACAACTTGTAGGCTGAAACAAAAATCACTCCAAACCAGAAACAGCTACATTTATTGCTGTGTTGTGCACCAGAAAATGTTAAGAATAAAGCTTTCCAAACAGATTAGCAACACTTGTGTGTGTGATGTGATCATTTTTAAGGCCACTGGGTTCTTTCTTATCATTTTTACCAGCACGGATTGATATCTATGACCCAAACCTGACATCTAGTGGAGGAAAAATGAGGGCAGGATTTTCCTTCAGTTCCCAAAATTACACTTGGTTCTGTGCACACTTTGCTCTTCTTYTCAGAAGTTCACTCCCTGCTGCCCAAGAATATTTAGGAATGTTTTAACAAGTTTCTGCCTCGTCCTCTGGGCCTGCTATCGTAATATCTCAATTCTCAGTTAGCAAAAATCAAACTTCAGGCTCTCATATTTAATGGAAATGTGGAAAGTATAAAGCCTAAAGGTTAATAAAACCAAAAGGCAAATTAAACTGTATATAAATTTAAATCAGTATCATAAATMTTTTGGTACCTCAGCACTGATGAGAGCACTCAAAGGCCATTAAAAATAGCAGAAGACAAAAGGTATTTTAGTTGTTCATACATTGTATGAAGCAAAAAACATCTYTCACCTGTGCTGGTGAAGAGTCCTGTCTTTGGAGCTGGGAGCTGTAACAACTCACACTGAATCATCATTTTGGTAGGACATGGAGAAAATGAAGTTATYAACAGTTTAGAGATTCATTAAAACCCCTGAAATGCTGTTTCGTGCCTAAATGAATGCCTAGAGAGCCAAATGAATGCCAAAAAGTTCAGCTACAGGGCTCTGCCCCAAGCARYCACARCACTGACAAGGTGATGCAKGYTTTTTAAAGGGATTTTTAATCTCCTGATGGAAAAAAACAAAGTTAGTGTTATATAAACAGTACAAAGTTTACCAAAGGATTGAGCTTTAATCTCTGATGGTTGCTTATTGACTGCAGAAAAAACAGAAGCTGCTCAGTGAAAAGATCTCCTCTACATTTTGTTTGCAGGAAAACTTGAAGGAGAAGCTCTCACCTCCTGCAGCTTTCCCTAAAATCCAAAGTAAGTCTGAAATGAGGTCTGAATTGGAGGACAGGACTGGGCTTGGGTTGTTTAAAATTCCTGTTTATTCTGCCATGAGAGGACTTGGTTTATCTTAATGTGCTTGCTGATTTTGACCTCCAAAAGTTGAAAAAGCAAAAGTTGTGATAGATGGTTTAAAGAATATCATGATGTAAATATGAAGATTTGTGCTATCAACAGTTTTGGATGTCTTGAAGTCAGAGGGAGCAGGTTTGGGATTCTGATACCCCCTGCACCTAATACCTGCCAGAGGAGACAGAAAAATATTGAAAAAATCACTCAGATTTCTTCTTCATCTTCCAATGAGTTCCTCATCTTGGGCTCTTTCCTGGTAGAGAATTGTGAGTCCTGATTTTCAAATCTAAACACAGGTGCTTCTAAACACCATGCCTGCAGTTTGACAGGTTGTTCCTGTGTACACAACCTCTGTGTGTTTATTTGTGCCACAAATGTGCAATGTGGGACACACAGGACCAATTCTGGTGAAGTTTGCAACCCTTGCTAATCTGCAGTGGGAGGTTAATTCTGTAAACTAGGATATTTACTTTTTCCTGTAAATTTTTTAAAAAATCCAGACTGAGCCACAGCTGTTTTAAAACTTGATGTGTTCATCTACCTTGCTAAATTACCTATTTTAATCAGTGCTGTGGAAGTAATTGCAACAAACAATTTAGAAAATTGACTTTGTCTGTGTTTTGTACATGTTTCTTCACACACAGGCATGGTTTAGCAAAACATTAATTTGCATAGTTTTTAGTTCTTGCTACTTCAAAAGTATGTTGGTGCAGGCATTTTCTGGGCAGCATTTATGTTGGTTTGATTCGACATCTGGGTCACACAGCTTCACTTTCTTTCCCTAAAAGACTCAGGGTAATTCTCAGAAATGTTTCATKTTGTGGAATTTGGTTTTTGCCAGTGTTTTCTCATATTTTGTCCAAATTCTATATGTTCATTTTATAATATATATCAGTGCTCCAGCATGTAACGCAAATGCCCAGAATGTGTTTGTTACAGAAGGAGAAAGGGAGATCTTTGTTTTTGCATTTTCTTTGTAGAAAATGCTTTGTTTTTCCCCAGTGCTGGCCTTGACAGTGACTTGCACTCAGRGTCTGGGCAYAGTTTTACAGTGTGTTCATTCTGGAGCAGGTTAGATGTGGATTCTGTGTTTACTTGTTTCCAGATTTCATGATCTTGAATTCCATCACTGTGCTCCATAACAAATTGTTCTGTCACAGAGCCRTCCTTCAGGGTAATCTAACAAATGATGTTCTGGGACAATCTTTGAGCAGAATTAGTGGAACAAATAACCCAGCTTGTTTTAAGATGGAACTTATGACAGAATTACACAACTGAAATAGCAGAGGACATAAAATATCCTCTTCAGTCTGCTGTTTAAAACAGAATGAAGAGAGGCACAGAAGAAGCTTCCTTCTACTCTCATGGCTGCATCTGCAAGTTTTCCACATATTAGGGTAGAGGATTCATAGAATGATGTGCAAGACAAACCAAGATAAACCTCTCAGCAGCTCTTCTAAGACAGACAGCTCCAAGTTTTRCATTCAGTGACAATGCAAAGAGAGAAAGAAAGAGAGAATGACAGCTCAGGAATTYAATTTCTGCTCCATATTATTCTTTTCTTCAAGGTTCCTCTCTCAGCAATGGCTATGGTGTGCCTTTCAGACTTTGAAGCTYATGCTAAAAAGTATTTGCCCAAGTTTGCTTGGGATTATTTTGCAGCTGGGGCAGACGACTGCGTCACACGAGATGAAAACATCCTGGCATATAAAAGGTAATGCAAGGAGGGAATGAAGGGTGTTGTGCTGGTACCTTCTAAACAATTAGCCTTTTTTATATGCTGTTTTCTTCATTGGTTCTGATTCCTGATTGCAATTGCTGAATCAAAACCTGGTTTCCATGAAATTTCAGAAAACTCAATGAACACCTACGATCCTAAAGAGGTTTTTTTACCTTACAGAATCCGTTTCCGGCCYCGTATGCTGCAGGACGTATCTGTGATGGACATTAGGACTAAAATCCTGGGCACTGAAATCAGCTTTCCTGTAGGAATTGCCCCTACGGGCTTCCACCAGCTAGCATGGCCTGATGGAGAGAAAAGCACAGCCAGAGGTACCTTCTGCTCTGGGGCCATGTGGCAAAAATAAGGGGTGTCAAAAAGCCTCAAGAAGTTGTTAGGATGACTTGAAATGTGACTGAGAAAAATTTTCAGGGTTGGAGGGTAAAACTCAGCTCCCACACATTCTAACACCTGCATGGGAAGCTGTACGGACATTGCTCTACTTCTCCAGCTGCCACCAAACAAAATCAGCCCCATTGCAAATCTGCTGCAAACTCAAGACAAGGGCAGTGGGCACATTGACTCACACCAAAAACCACATAAGGTTTGCAGTCCTGGGGGCTCTAGATGGGTGTGAAAGTGGTGGGAATCAGACTGAATTCCTTGTTCCTGGTTAAGACACGTCTCACTGGAAGAAAAAGATGTCCCCTTTTCACAAATCCTGTGGTGGGTTTGGAGAGTGGACCCCTAGAAATATTTTTTTCTTCTGTGTACACTGAGTGGATTTAACAGTGCATTCCTGTGAGGACTCAGTCATAAAGATAAAATTCATGCTTTTTTTTAAAAAAAAAGGAAGAAAAATGCTGCAAAATGAAAGCACAGCTTGGTTAATCCCCTCTCCTTTTCCATGACCCAACAATGGTACATGGTACACACAGCCACTGTTGATTTTGGGTGATGCCTTATCAATCAGGCTGATCTGAAAGAGAGGCCAGACAAACTTAAGAGAATGAGAATACACAACTTTAATCCAGGCCTAACAGGCCTATTGGTACATTAGGGCAGACAAAGCCTCCTCCTGAGGCTACACCCAAAATGGACACTGAGTCACGAGATCTTCACCTTTTATAAGTTCTGCCTTATTAACATATTGGGTCTTAATTCTCCAATGATCTTTACAGGTGATGATGTCACCCACCCCAAACTTGCTCCCCCCAAATCACTGTTATTTTCATATTTTGGGGCTCTGAGGCAGTGAGGTGTCCTTGGATTCAGGCTCAGAGAGGAATTGTTTTGTCTAAAGATGACAGAATGGTAGTTTTAGTGCTATACTAGAGAAGCACAGTGATGGAATTCAAGATCATGAAATCTGGAAACAAGGAAACACAGAATCCACGTCTAACCTGCTCCAGCATGAACACACTGTAAAACTTTGCCCAGACCCTGAGTCAAGTCACTGTCAAGACCAGCACTGTGGAAAAACAAAGCATTTTCTACAGATCTCCCTTTCTCTTCTGTAACAAATATCTKCTGGGCATTTGCGTTACATGCTGGAGCACTGATACATATTATAAAATGAACATATAGAATTTGGACAAAACASTGGCGAAAATACAGACGCATGAAAACACAGAAATGAAAAATCCTAAGGAATCATGGGGGCATAGCTGCCCTGAGCTTTGTAGGACACACRTGGAACGGGAGTTCAGGTGTATTGAATTCCATCACTGTGCTTCTCTGGTACAGCACTGAAAACCACCATTCTCTCATCTTTCGACAAAACAATCCCTCTCTGAGCCTGAATCCAAGGACACCTCACTGCCTCAGAGCCCCAAAATATGGAAATAACAGTGAGTTAGGGGGGAGCAAGCAGTGCATGGTTTTGTATCCAGTATCAGGCAAGACTGCTCAAATGTCTTTTGTTTCTGATTTATTCCCTGCAGCGGCCAGGGCCATGAACACGTGCTACATTGCCAGCACCTACTCCACCTGCACCCTGGAGGAGATTTCCACRGCTGCTCCTGGTGGTCTGCGCTGGTTCCAGCTCTACATCCACCGAAACAGGGCGGCGTCCCAGCAGTTGGTCTGGAGGGCACAGACTTTGGGATTCCAGGCCCTTGTCCTCACCACGGATGTGCCCTACACAGGAAAGAGACGCGATGATGTCCGCAATGGCTTCCGCCTGCCTCCCCACATGAAAGTGAAGAATTTGGAAAGAGATTTTGAGGTTTGTAAAATGAGCTTGTCCTTTCATTCCTGGCATGGACCACATGAGACAAAAACCACTGGGTAACTGCTGCCTTGGCATTTGCTGTACCAGGGTGTATATGCTCCCTTGCTGGTTCTTCCTGGCTTGACATCCTGCCAGACTGGGCTCTGTCTTCAAAATCCCCTGCCTTAGGGACACTGATCTCCAACCCCATCGTAATTATTCTCCTCCAGAGACATGTGACATTTCTGGGGCAGATGAACATGTCTGCTGGCAAATTTGATTAATCTGTTCCAGAGCAAGGAAAGACACCAAAGGATCTGTGTGCTGCTGCAGCTCGGATGAATTTTCCTTTTGTTGTTTCCTTTTGGCTGTAGGGGGATGACTGTTCAGAATATGGACTGCCACCCAACAGCTTGGATCCTTCTGTCACCTGGAAGGACATCGAGTGGCTGAGGAGCCTGACCCATCTGCCCATCATCATCAAAGGCATCCTGACAAGAGAAGATGCAGAGCTGGCAGTGAGACACGGAGTGCAGGGAATTATTGTGTCCAACCACGGTGGAAGGCAGCTGGATGAAGGACCTGCCACTGTAAGTGAGAAAATGGATGTCCTACATCTTCCCTGTTCATATTTACATTAATGTGAATTAATTAATTCACATTTGTGTGTGCACTTCTGGTGGCTGTAGATGTGTGCAGATGTACTTTAGCTTTGAACTGGTGAGATCCATGCCTTGGATCCTGCTGAAGCACCCACTGAAATATTTCCTCAGCTTCTTGGAAATAAGTGCAGAAAAACCACAGGCCTGGATCAGGAGGGAATTCTGTCTGTGCCTCCATTAGCTGGTGCACTGCACACAAACTCTTTGCGCACTGCAGCAAAAGGAAAACAAAGGTCTGGAACCAAAAAATGTACAAATGAGAGCATAATGTATTCTCATTGTTCACATCTGTCAAAACATGCAAAACAATGCAGCTAGATTTACTGAGAGCTCTGCTTGSGTATTTACAGGCTCGAGTCTAAATGGGAATTTATTGACTTGCACGAGCCAGAAAAAGGATAACTTATCTGGGAAGAATTCCSCTGCTTTTTTATTTGTGCAAAGAAATCATGCATTGTTTGGACATGTGTGTATTTCATGGGCTTAATTTGTCAGTTTTTCCAATTGCTCCTATTTTACAGTTCTGCATTGCACAGTATCTTACAAACTTTCTTTTCTCAGTTTTCCTTTGTAARATAAAAATAGCTACCAGGGAATTCWCTTCTATTCCATGTCAAGGCTGACAATAATGAATAAAAAAAACTAATTAACAAAAGGCTAAAGGCATAATAACAGAAATGGCATCGACATTAAACTGCTCTTCTACTTTAAAAGCCCTTTACATACACAGACAAGGCAGAAGATATCTAGTTGGGCTCTGCTACTCATCTGGTACCAAGCCTGGCTCTTTCTGAGCTAGTCCTAGAAAATTTCAGCCTGAATATCAGTTTGAAATTCAGAAATAAAAGAAAAAATATATTAAAATAAGGCAAATGGCTATAAGACATTGCAGGAAAGAGCTTTTTGAGTTTATTCTGAAGGAGAGTTAATTTTGTCTAGTGCAATGTCCTGTCCCTGGTTGTACTGCCTTTGGGGCCAGAGACAACATTTCAATCCAATAATATCTGGGGCTCTAGTCCATGCTGGACTTTRCAGAAAAGACCTGAGGGAATCAGGAGACTTAACCTGGAGGAAATGATTTACTGTGCTACATAACAAATGAAATCCTTCAGAGTTGTTTTAAGGGGAGGCACTGGACAAGTGGTCACCAGGATTAGGTAGAAGTGTAAGTTTAGGTAGTTTGGATAGTGGGAGTTTGACATCAGCCTTTTTTACAAACAGCTGTATCATTCCTCATTGTCTCAGGTGAAAGTAAAATATTCATGACAGTTATTCCCATTGAAATTTATATTTAAAATCTTTCATAAATCTAGCGAAAATGTTACTTTTTCTAGTGAAAAAGTATCTCCTGAAAATGTTACTTTTTCTCTTATCAGAAGTGATAGCAAAGAATATCAGTGTAAGCCAAGCACTGAAAAATGACATTAAGTGTCTGAAAAACAGAACAGGGAACTGAACTTTATTCTTCAGCTCCTGGTGCTGATCAACTTGCAATTTATTTCATTGTCACGTTTCAATTTGAGAAGGTATCCTAATAAAGCATTGCATCCCTGCTGTTTCTTTGGAATAMATCCTCCTTCTCTTGGAACCAAAATCAGAATCTGCTTCTTTGCAGATTGATGCTCTGGTTGAGGTTGTGGAAGCAGTTCGAGGCAGAGTTGAAGTTTATGTGGACGGTGGAATACGGAAAGGAAGTGATGTTTTAAAAGCACTGGCACTGGGAGCAAAATGTGTTTTTATTGGAAGGCCAGCTTTGTGGGGCCTGGCTTATAAGGTGAGTAAGGAGCTCTGAGTTCATGTGCCTGCTCCTCACACTCTCCTTTCAGCACCTCTGCAACTGAAATCTCCGAGTTTTCAATGGTGAATAATATTTTTTTGTAATTTTGTTTTGTTGAATTTGAAGTGGAATCATCCCAAGCTGAATGAAACCTTGACACTTCCTGTGATTTAAAAAATACCGCTGAATTTTACCATTTCCTGGGATTTTAAACAATGGAATTTTGAAGGTGGTAAAATTTGTTTTGTAGGATCTGACTCCTTGGTGTTGTGGTTTGGTGCTGAAATACTGTAGGACATCAGTACTTCTGAAAATTGGAGCTGAGCTTTTTTACCAGAAAGATGAATCTGACTATTTTATTTGCTTTCAGCAAATATTTGGGAACAATATATGGTTTTGGTACAATAGATTTATAGTAGTGCTGTGAATTCTTCAGAAATACATACAGAACTCCATCCCACTGATGTCTGAAACACTTCAGACAAGGCTGAGCTGCTATTTTAGTTCCAGCTTTGCTGCTTCTTAACTCCTGGCATATTTCTGTGATCCAGAGTCATGAATTAGGCCTATGATACAGAAGGTAAACATAGTAAAATTAAAATATTATTATACCAGTTGGGGTTTTTTGTTATTTTTTTATTTCTTACACTCTGGATTGGAGCTTTCAAAACTTTTCTCTAGAAGAAAAGATATTTATTTTTATGGTATAGAAACATTTCCTAACTTTTGAATGCTGCTGTTGTCCAGTGGTGTGATTTCTGTGGATTCCAGTAGCTTTAAGCAAAAAAATATCACCTGAATCTTCTGAAAAACCTGGAAGAGTTGGCAGTACTGTTTCTTTTGCCAGCAAACATTAAAAAATGGCCTAAAGATGAAAAGGGTGCTCCTTGCTTTTGCTTTTTCCACAATGCAAAGAGAAAAGAAAAGGGGTTTTGGAGGTTCAACTGTGCTTTGGTATTAAATTCCATRGAGTATTCCTAAAGATGTGTGTCAGTGGCATTACCATGGCATAAAATAGAGGGAGGGCATAAACAAGTATTTACATTGTCTGCACCCAGAGCATTAATTATTGCATGAGATAAAAAGAAAATTTAAGAGAAAAAAAAATTACAAAAACATCCAAAAATTTTAAGGAAGATCAAATCTTCTATACATTTTATTAGATTTTGAGCTTCTTGGTGTCACACAGAGAAAAACACAGTCTATTATTTTTAAAGATTCAKTCCTCTACTTGAGTAAACTACAGTTTTTGAAGTGGCCCCATATATGAAACTCTCATTACCTTGTTAAAAACTGTCAGAGTTGGAAGGCTTGACATTTTAAATAACAAGCCCATTGGTGGAGAAAAACTGAAAAAAAAAAATGAACAAGCTCCAAGATGTCAGAAGTGAAAAACAGCTTTGTTTTCTTTCGCTGCTCAGATATATCACAAAAGGAAAAGAATCTAAATTAATCTGTGATGAACTGAGCGCATCCATCATATCATTTTAATCATTTATCTGCATGAGACTGGAACTGGCATGGAWTTAAGGGATTATCCAATCTCTCAGGGTGCAGCACTGCTCTGTGCCAGGCTCCTTTCACCCTGACTGCTTTCTCTGTTGGGACAGGGTGAAGAAGGTCTTCAAGAAGTCTTGAGAATTCTGCAGGATGAGTTTCGTTTGTCAATGGCCTTGGCTGGTAAGTGTTTTGTTGGTAATGGGGGATACAAAGACAAAGTTTGCATGGAGGGACTAAGAGCAGCTTTGTCACCAAATTAAAGAGATGCAAAGCTGCTAAGTACAGCAGAGCAAAACTTGGAATTTCTGCTCTCCTGGGAATAGCAGCATGTGTTTTTCAGTATTTAATCAGTATTTMATTTTATTTATCAAGGTTTTTTTCTGCATGAGAAGTTCATTAAAAAAGGATGCAGATTTTTTTTCTGTGTGTTAGAGAATATAATCTGTTGGTGATTAGACATGCTTTAAAGCCTTTGTGTCTCCCCCAGGCTTTTACTCTCACTCTGCATTTCTCACTCCTGCTCCCAGCAGCTGTAGCTCCCTGTTTGACCCCCTCACCAAACAGCAAATCTGCAAACCCAGTGCAAACTCCAGTTTCACTCTGAACAAGAGGATGGTTGGAACAGGCTCTGGAATATGCTCCCCAGKGTAGTGGTCACAGCAGCAGCCTGRCAGAAATCAAGAAGCATTTGGACAATGCTCTCAGGCACATGGTGTGATTATTGAGGTGTCCTGTGCAGGGCCAGGAGCTGAATTCCATCATCCATCCTTGAGGGTCCCTTCCARTGMAGGATATTCTGTGATATCCAGCATGACATTCAGATCCAGTGAAGAAGTGTTCAGACATCAGCAAAGGGTCTTATTAAAGATTTTCATGCTCCAGCAACCATGAACTCAAGCAGAGAGCAACRCTGACTGGACACTGGGGCCAAAATCCTGCAGGGCACAGTCTGGTTTATGGGTTACTTTTCAATCAGTACAGAGTCCTACAAGGTGTTTATTTTCCCCAGCAGACTCTTACGCTTCTTTACATGCAAAGGGCAAAGGATTCAGTGAGAGTAGCAGGTCGGTATCCTTTAGCTGGAGCTGTGAAATTCATTGAATCACACCATCCTTTAGGCTGTAAAAGACCTTTAAGATCATCAAGTCCAACTGTTTACCCAGCACTGCCAATTCTTCTGTGAAAACATGTCCCTAAGTGCCCCATCTAGGTGTCTTTTTTAAACACATCCAGAGATGGTGACTCAACCACTCCCCTGGAAGCCTTCAAGCACTGGAATAAGAAAACAAGAGCTGATCTTTTTTTTGTCCAGAAACCTTCAAGTGCTGGAATAAGAAAGGAAGAGCAGATCAGCCACTCCAGTGGAAGAATTCCAGTGCTTAATAACATTTCTGTGAAGGAATTTTTCCTGATATCCAATGTAAACCTCTCCTGAACACAGGATTTGAGGAATGGCCTCAGCATAGGGGGACAGTATAGGGGGACAATCCTGCTGGCCACACTGGTGTTGTCACAGGATGCCTGTGTCACATTTGGGCACATGGTGAGCTCATTTTCAGCTGTTAACCAATACCCCTATTCCACCTGTCTTTGACCAAACAAAATGGCAATGCAAATCTCCACCTCTGGCCATTTGGCACACAGCAAACCTTGTGTTTTTTCTCTGTGTTTTCCTGCTGATTTGACTGGATCAGAATGCACCCTCTTCAGCTTGTTATAAAAAGATTTTTTTTGTTTTTCCAGCTCTTCTTGTGTGGGGAGTCTGGYGCTGAACCTCAAGGTTGAGGATGCYATTGAGGAGTGGCGAYACTGAAAWTCCAAAATATCTCAGGCTGTGATTCAGAGGGGGGTTCCAARCTTCATCCCCAGCCCTTTGTCCCTCAGCAGTGTTTCATTTATTTCAGGCTGTTCCAGTGTCTCAGAGATCAGCCAGCACCTGGTTCAGTTCTCCAAACTGTGATGGAGCTCCTGCCATGCCCACCAAAAACAGGCAGCTCAACCCAGGCTGAAGGGGAAAAACGAGGTGCAACAAGAATCTGCCTTCCAGAAACTCCAGAATCTCCAGAAGAGATTAGGAAAGTGTTAGCAAAGGCTGTGCTCTGTTTTTATTGAGACCAATGAATCCTTCGACAGTTCGGGCAACTCTCACTTGCTCAAATACATTTGTTTTTAGCTGGTTGTTCCATGTCATTACCTGTGTTGGGCCTTACTCCCAAATTCCACCACAGACATGGAAAACTCTGTTCCTTGCTTTTTCCACTCATCCTGCCAAATCTCACTGCAGCTCTATCTGCACATCTCTCCTGCTCCGCACAGGAAATGTTGAGGCTGTCCTTTTCCTTACATTTGGCTTTTCCTGGGTGCATTCACAACAGATAAAGAAACAAGATCAGCTAGCAGGCAGCTCAGCTAACCTTTAAAGGTGGGAGCAATTCTTGCCCACTGCTTTTAAAAGGAAAGCAATAAAATGTAGAGCAGAGCAGCACTTTTTGGGTCAGAGCCATCTCTTGGTGGTGCCGTCCCTGTGGAGCACCTACCCTGACATTTGCAGGAGGAGCCCTCAAAATGCCACATTTTGCATAAAACCTACCTTAAATTAGTCCAAAGGAGGCAGAAGGGAGAAGCTAACCTTGCTGGCTTTCTGTTTAGACTTGGATTTCTTTCAGAAATAACAGAGTCTGCAGTGATTGTGCAGAGACCTTCACACTGAGGAGCTGATACCTACCCTGACACCCATTTGCAGGGGAAGCCCTCAAAATGTGCTTTTTTTGCATAAAGCCTACTTTAAATTGGTCCAAAGGAGGCAGAAGAGAGAAGCTAACCTTGTTGGCTCATTCTGTTTAGACTTGGATTTGTCTCAGAAATAACAGAGTCTGCAGTGATTGTGCAGAGGCCTTCACACCAAGGCCTTCCTCTCCATTCCAGTAACAATAAACTTTGTCAGACTGACAGCCCAGCAGATAAAACTTGGGAATTACACCACATCACACATCCTGGGGGATTTCAAGGATGTACAACAAGAGAATGAGGCAGCTGGGAGTGCTCAGTCCTGTGAAGGTTAAAGGCAGGGGAGGGGGRATCTCATCTTTTTTGCCACTCATTTGGAGTAGATCCAGCCCAACTTCTTGGATGTGTGCTGGAAATGGGTGAAAGGCAATTGGCACAGGCAGCAAGGAGGAAAATTCCAAGTAGAAATTAGTGGGAGGGAAAAAAAAAACACCACAAGGGCAGTCAGACCCTACAACATTGGTTTTGTGAAACCTTCATTGTTAGAGATAYCCARAGCTTGGCTGGGCAAGGTCCAGAAMAAACTCTCTGAAACTGAGAAAAGGTTGGACAGAGATGTCCAGGGGATCCTTTTAATCTGAATTGTTGGGAGATGTCACAGAATCATGAAATATGAGCAGCAGAGAGATCTGTGCCCTGCCATACCGCTATGCACATGGACCTCTGTGAAAGGCTGCAAGAACACATTTTCTGCATGGAAAAGCAGAAATATTTGGTCAGTGAACTTAGGGGTCAATCAGGCTGAGAGTCTATTTAACAAGCCCAGTTTTTCTGAGATGTTGAGGGTTTTCTATGATCTGGATCAGGGCTGTGACAGTGCATACCAAAGCTTCATGCCCCCTTTGTCTGCACCCTGGTTTGCTTTATGAATTTGACTGTGGGGAATATCTCTGATACACATTAAAGTGAGATTAAATCTTACAAAAAAACTGTCCCTGAAGACTGTAAACACGTGGGTTAATGGGGCAGAGAATCAGTCTACTCACAAGGGTAGTTTATCTATGAAATGGTTCCAAATATAAGCATTTTTCTTTGGCATATGATGCAAATTTCTCCAGACTTTAAACATGGGATTGACTCAACAATTTCAGCTGAGGAAACTGAGTTCTTCCTAAAACTAAAGGGAAAAGAAGACTGTTTGTTTCTAATTAATTACCCAACTCATGTGCTCTCTAATATAGCAAAGACTAAAACAGGTAAACCTTTTTGATCTCAGAGATATTGTCAGAAATATTTACAACCACATTCTCCCTTCTATTGGAACAATTTTGGTACTATTGGCATAGGAGATATTTTCTTTGTTGGATTTGAAGACACAGAAACACCAAGGTCTCTTAAGATGCTTTAATACATACCTTGATTAAAGTGACTAAAGTGTCTTATAACTCTCCCCCACTATGAGAAGTTGTTTTTATTCAGARTCTGATGCAGGACAGTTGTACAAAAGTTAATTATTTAAATCTCGTTSCCTCTTGTCAATGTACAATTAGAAGGGAGGAAAATGTTTCCAGGAGGGAACACTGCTTACCACCCTGCAGGGCAGAGGTTTTCCTTGAGTAAATCTACATCTCAAAGTACAGTCTCTCTCCCAGAGCTGCCATCATGTTGGTATTTTGAACTAACAAGCATAGAGTGGTAAGAAACACAATAATTTTTCCCATGAAAAGAAAAACATGGATTTTGTGTGTGTGTGTTTGTGTSYGTKTGTGKCTTTTTGGTCACAATTACTCTAYATTCACAAATCAAAGGTCCAGTTAAAACAATGAGTTTTTGCTTTTGCTTTTCCCTTCTTTAGTTCTCATCAGTCCAGGCAACAGGGCACACTTCAGAAACTCCTTTCCTGAATTAAAATTCTTTCTGGACAAAAAGATCTGCTCTTCCTTTCTTATTCCTGAATAGCCKGATTGATAGCAAAATAACTTTACCTGATTCCATAATTAAATCTGATAATTAAACAGCATTTCCTGCTGTAAAGGAACATTTTATCCTATCTAAAACTCCCAATCCCTGCAATATTAATGCATAAATTCATTCCAGTACCATGATGCTCAACTATCCACTTAGTCCATGTACAGCATTTCTCCAATACATTCCAAAATGTACAGGCTCTGATTTTCTAAAATGATGCTATCAGTCATGTAGCCCATTCTACGTCAAAATATCAGATTGTGGCAGCTTTGTTTTACAACCAAGCCAAAGAGAAGAAAGACATCAACACAGTTWAAAAATGTCTATGCCTTGACACAGAATGCAGAGTTTTAGATGCTGCTCAGTCATGCTTTAATCTGCAAATCCCCTGCCTGTGCAATAACTCTGAATTTCTCCAGGTTGCTCCTGGTGGTCAGGGCTCTGGTGAAATTTGGCTTTTCTGCTCATTGACATCATTCTGGGATGTACARCCCATTCCAGTCCCAGCCTCCATGTGCTTTGGAGAACACCAGAACTTGTCTTGTCTGCTCAGGCAGAGCTGTCATGCCACCCAACAACGTCACAAAAGGTGAAAATGCTGTCTCTAGGCAAGACTGCAGGAAGCTCCAGTAGGTCTGAGCTGGAATTGAGCAAATTGCTGCAGTGTGACCACAAACAGCAGTTCAGATGAAGGCTGCTGTGTAGTGATGTATAAAATTCCCTCAAACTAATCCAAACATTTATCCCTAAGAGAGTACCTAAGAGGACAAAAGCACAGCAGCAATAAATCTCCCTACAGTCACTTAAGCAGTACTCATATTCTCATGTAAGCACTGCCCCTGCTAAACTTGATCATTCTAACAGGCAAGCTTGGTGTAGAAAAGTATTTTCTATCCTACGAGGCTATGTGGTGTTGTCTGTTTTTATAATGCCTTTTTAAAGCATTTTATTTCCTTTCTCAAACTAGAAAGGAAGTCTGTTAACAGAGAATGTTGCTTGCAGCATCAGGCTTTGGCCAGTTATTTTTCCYTGCAAAGTGCACAAAATTAATTTGCAGCAGCTTCTGATAAGAATGTACAATGTCAAGGTCCTGACTGTGAAAAGCTAAGCAAAGAAGCACTGATAACAATTTTTTTAAAGCTTTGTTGGGGTAAGGAATGAATTTTCAAGGGCGCTGGCATCTAACAGTTGCCAAAACATCATCATTTGTGTCAGCCAGAAACCTTTCTCCTCAAAAAGAAATGCTTTTGCTTTCCTCCTGTCACTTGTAAGCCCAGTTTTCCTCTGAAAATGTAACAGTGTGGGGATGCTTCTTCTACAGCTTTTCCCCAGGGCTCTCTTTAATGAGTGAACAAAACCTATGATAGAATAAAAAAAAAAAAGGACTTTAGCAGTTAGTGTCATGAATGAAGCAAACCTTTTTTAGAGATCCAAACCAGGGATCCCTTTTCCAGCGATTCCAGCCTAATTAATTGTGTTGCTGGACTTCTTTGTAACTTCCTTCTGGCTTGAGGCAGCTCCCTATTTATCATCCTGCTTCAGCAGGGATATCAGCCTTTCCCTGCATGAGAGACAGAGAAAATACATCAGCAGAGTGTCCTGGCAGAGCCAGGAAGGCATTGGSAGCTTCAGGCTAATCCCTGCTTACMAAACAGCTCTGCTTGAACTCGAGAGAAACCCCAGGGAGAAACACCTGGATGTTTTCTGTGTGTTAAAAATCTGAAGTAATGACACAGATCACTGCAGAGACACAAACAGCCTTATTTTAGTCAGGTTCTCTCTCGCACAAGACATTTCCAGAGGTGARTCTTTCCCTCCTGCAGCTTGAATTTAACTTTGATGGTACATTAAACAATTTCATCACTTCAAATGCCTCTAGTGCACTGAGCAAATACAAAATCCCAGGGGTTGGTTTCTGATCTTGCACAGAGAGAGTAAGAAACCCATGTTATAATGGGGAAGTATTCAGAAAATATAGAGCAGCAGAGTCCACTCCTCAAACCACTCTAAATAGCTTGTCCTGATATTTAAATTTAAATTTTAAGCTCTCTACCTTCAATATTAGCATTATATTATACAAGGAAGTACCACWAGAGAGAATTACCAATATGAGGGTTTATTCTCTGAGGATTTAGGGATGCAGGACCTCATTTAGGCTCAGACCTCACTGCATCCAGAGCCTTTCTCCTTGGTGGGAGTGGTGTGGAATTATCACATTCTTTTGCAACAAAGGAGGCACTGGAGAGGGAGGGGAGCAAAATGACYGAGGTGGTGCTCTGCAGCATATAAATACAGGCTGATCTCCCTCCCAGCCTTCTGAGTGCTGGAGAAGTGGGACCAAGACTCGAGACAGAGTTTTGTGGGGTTGGTTTGGCATTGAAGTTGATTTTGAGCATTTGCAGATTTGTTAGTTTGATTGGTTTGTAATGATTTGTACAATTTTTTCTTTGCACGGAAATAATATGTAGACTACTTCTGAATAGGAATAGCTAGCAAAAGTAAGAAGACATGCTTTAAAATTTGTTCTGTGTAGTGATTAAAGTTTGTTTTTCTGTGGTGTCTCCTTCTGGCAACACCCTTTGATTTGTAAGRACTCCAGAGATTGATGTCATATGTTCATTCCCTCAGGCAGAAGGAGAACCAGCAGCAGAACAGCGAGTTTGTCACCGAGGAGCAACCCAGAGCGATGTCCCTGGCTGGGGTGAGCTGCCTGGTGACAGGAGCAGGAGGATTYCTTGGCCAGAGGATTGTCAGCTTGCTCCTGGAAGAAGAGGAGGCTCTGGCTGAGATCCGAGTGCTGGACAAAGCCTTCAGTGATGAAGCACTCAGGAGATTTGAGAGTAAGTGCCATTGTGTGGGAACTGTGGGTTCAGCTCTACGTGTTGCTGTCTCAAACCTTTACCTCTCATCCAATTCATCTTTGCAGATAGAGTTTTTATCTGAAGGAACCCTTGCTTTATCCCTCCCTCTTCCTCCAGCRCAGAAATCAGATGTAAAATGTGAAAACAAGAGTTTTTTTGTCAAGCCTTGAGGCTTCTATATGCTGTTTATGCAGTAAACAGGCTGTCTTCAATCTGATTTCTAGTACAACAAAACCCACAGAACAAAATTRGTGTGAAAATCTCACACTWCTTCTTGRRGGAAAGGAAAATGCAAGGATTGCTRTWCWGAGTGGGAGGGCAGAGATACCCAGAGCAAGCTGTGCTGGGCTCTGGTGTGACAGACTAGAAGGCAGTGACAAAAAGTGGGGGCCAATTCTAATGGTTTTCTTCAATTTGGGATTAATTTGGTTAATAGTGATCTTTAAAAACTTCTGTTGGTAACACCATTGCAAGTTTGCTTTTGTTGGTAACATCATTGCAAGTTTCGTGTTTAAGCAAGTGCTAAACAAAAAAGAGATGGGATTATTTGCAAAGTGCAAGGCAGGACTTTCTGACTTCTTGAATGGATTGGAGACAGCACAAGTGAGGGATGTGCCCTGGGTCAGAAAAAAATGGTGGCCAGGAAAGCAGCCCAGAGTGTTGGATTTTAAATTCTTTGAGATGCTGAGCACATCTATAAAAGGGCACATATAGGGGGCCTAAATTCAGTCAGGTTCCTAAATCCTTACATTATATTTATTTAACAATGACTTCCTCCATCACATCTTCACTGCAAGACTCCTCTTCCTCTCTACAGGCAATTTATGGGAATCCTTAAGGAATATCTCCATATGATTTGCTAAAGAGCCTCAATCACTATTTAGAGCACTTAATTGTCATCAAGGAATAGTAAGAGTGTGCCATAAACCTGGTACAAACTGCACAAACTTTGTCATGGTTCTATACAGCGCAAATTTCTCATCATTAAATCTGACTTGGCATTTCACTGAGGATTTCTAGATGTCCTTGGACCTTTCAGCAGCCCTTCCTGCTCTGATTTCCAGAGAATTTCCACAGAAACAAACCCAAAATCTGTGTGTGTGTTTTAGCACTGATACACCATTGCAGAGGCATTTGCACTGCTGTGGGACAGGAGAGTTTTGGGAAGATAATGGGGCATCCTGGGGAGTGAAAACAATTGTTTGTGGATGGGCACAGTCTTGGCTGAGCTGCAACAAAGGTTTTGATGGTTTTTTTGGTTTTTTTTTTTTTTTTTTTTTTTTTTTTTTTTTTTTTTTTTGTTTTTTTGTTAACAGGCAAATGTGTGCCCTCTTCCCTCTTCCTCCACTGAGCTCTGCTCACACACCTCCTCTCCTATTCTTTTAACATTCCTTCTGCCTATCTGAGCAGCACGGGAGGGAGGGAAAAATCAGTTACTAAAATCTTTTTTCCCCATAAACAAGTTGTAAGGACCACAGACTGGCATTCCAGATGTGTTTAAATGGGCTGCAATCCCTGCACTTTGACTGGCAGCTCTGCAATCTGTATCAGCCCTTTTGGCTCCATTTCTTCTGCTGTCCTGTCAGTTCCTGTGCTCAGGACAACCCAAAATATTTCCCAGCCATTCCCTTTCAAGCCCTTCTGTATCACAGTGACTCCTATTCTGAATTCAGAGCTGCTACAAAACTTGTGGGTGGAGCTGGAGTCTTCTGATCTCATTATTTTTACTGCTGGGACTTTTACTTGTGAGCAGACATTATCAGGATTTCTGGAACAGCCAGGAGCAGGGCTGGGTGGGWTTTTTCCTCACTAATCTCTTGACCACCTTGCAATATCTGTGTTGGGACAGGGCTGTGGGTAGTAAAACAGAAAAGCTGTCAAAAATTACAGTTTTTTGTGCCAGAAAGCACTCAGGGCACTGCTCTTTTGTCCAAACAATTCTCCTGCTGAGAGCTTGACCATC